TGACATTAAACTCGTCTGTTCAATGTATTTATTCTAACCAATTTGCTTATATTGTTATAATTTTATGCTTTCATATCTTGTTTTTGCTGGTGGGATCTGCAGCCCTGTGGCGGCTGACTCGCTCTCCTCTCCCTCACCACTGCTGCTGAGTCGAAATAATCTGCTGCCACCTATTGGCACAGCTGAAGCAGAACACTTGAGCACGGTGGGGCCACAAAGGCAAACGGTATGTCTCCTTCCTATTGCCTTTCCAATGTTTATAAAACCTCATGGTCAGTAATTCTGCAGGATCTATGCTGTGGATTTGTATATTCTGTCAAAAGTACAAACTGAATTCTGATTTGACAATGGCCTGCAATTACCATACCTGTTAGGGCTGATATTGGACATGCACAGCTCCACTATAAATTAACTGTTTCTGTAATTCTTATCCCTTCTGCAGAAAACCCATAGCGATTCCAGTCGAGCTCGAAGTGCAGTGGTGGATGAGCCTAACCATCAGCAGCCCCAGGAGAGGCTCCTGTTACCTGACTTTTTCTCCAGGCCCAATACAACTCAGTCATTTTTGGTAGAGTGACATACTTCCTCTATTGTATGATAACTGAGGAAAGGGGAAAAAACTAATTTGACAGGCGTAAGGCTTTATATGGTGGCTTAATCAACTCTAAGAGTAAAAGCTGACGTTCTAATAAGTGTTTTACATTTTAAGTACATTTGCTGAAACTCTAACTGGTCTCTGCCACTCATTATTTTAACTTGTAAAAATAAGGTAAAATGCCTTATATATAAATAGCAAATTCTAAGCAATTTAAAATTTAGATATTTCTGAGAATAAGCAAAAAAATGTTAAACCCCCTCCCCCCCCAGTGCGTATCAGATTAGCATGAACTTCATTCTTTTAACATTGCTCTGAGGGAATTAAACAAAAAGTGGTAACAGATTATGTTGTGGACTGGTGGGTGGGCAAGTTAAGACTTTCAGAGTTTTCGTTAACTGGTGTTTGAAATGCTAACACTGTCACCACTAAATGTACATTTACTAGCCTTTTTACTTTTAAACATCAGAAACAACCTGACTGGGAGACTAGAGGTCATGCACTGACTGTGCCCCAAACTATAAGCCAGGAGCTCAGCCCCACGACATTTGCTTGCTTTGTACAAGAGGGCTTGGAAAGCCCAGAGTGACTGAGGGCACACTTATGGCCCAAGAACCAGGCACCCACGTCCTAAACCAGTTTTCAAGACAGTGGTGTTTGCAACCCACTTAGCTCAACTCATAACCCTTAAACTGTATCAGCCTAAAAGCACCATATGATCTTTCCTCCATTAGAAGAGTGGTGAGAATAAATGAATGGGACTAGTTTGTACTAGTTTCCTTGGGCTGCCATAACAAATTACCACAAACTGGGTGGCTTAAAACAATATATTCTCTCCGTTCCAGAGTCTGTTGAAAGTCCAAAATCAAGGTATCAGCAGAGCTACGTTCCCACTGCAGGCTCTAGGGAAGAATCTTTTCTTGCCTCTATCCTAGTTCATGAGCTGTTCAGCTTAACTGCCTGTTTTTGTGAACAAAGTTTTCTTAGAGGAGAGCCACCACATTCATTCAATTTTGTACTTTCTGTGGCTGCTTTCCTAGTCTTAACAGCAGAACAGGGTAGTTGCAGTGACAGTATATTCCACAAAACCTGAAATGTTTACTATCTGGTCCTCTATTTTAAAAAAAAGAAAAAAGAAAAGAGGTTTGCTGACCACTGATAGAAAACATGGGGCTTCATCAGGAGAGGGGGAAAAAAACCCTCAAATCTCTTATTCCAATGCTGACAAGAAACTGAGGGGATGTTTTTTATTCCAGAAGTACCAGCAAAATGGCATTGATAGCTCTTTTTTTAGTATCTACATATGGACATTTTAGTTGTATCTTAAAATCTTTAAATCCCTTAAAGCAATTTTGAAATGTTGAGTTCCATATTAAGAGTCACATTTTAAGCATGGAGGTTGTCGGTGTTGCTGAAAAGGTTCTGTTCTGTTGTTTTAAACAGTCAGCAGGGGAGGGGGGATCAGGATGGGGAACACATGTAAATCCATGGCTGATTCATGTCAATGTATGGCAAAAACCACTACAATACTGTAAAGTAATTAGCCTCCAACAAATAAAAATAAATGGGGGAAAAAAAAAGTCAGCAGGCAATGGAAATCAGATTCAAATTCCCTTGAGAACCAATTATGAGTACTTAGAAATATTAAACCATATAGATTATTTATAAATGCTGATTTTCTTAAAGACATATCAATAAAGTTGCAGAACTTGCAATTTTTACAAGTTAACAGTCACTCTGTGGGCTGCTGGCTTGGGATTTTTAACTTGGAATGTTAAGTGTATTCAGCCAACTGTCCCTCAGACTGACAGATGATGCCAATTACATTGCTGTCCGACTTCAGGGCTTTCCCTTGTAAAACAACTAACACATTATCCTCTGGAAGAAGTCACACTGTAAGCAGTGACTCATCTTCTCTTTTTCAGCCAGATATGCAGTATCGTCGTTCGTGTGCTGCTGAGTATCCTCACCAGGCCCGACCTGGTAGGGGATCTGCAGGGACAGGTGGGGTCATGGCTCTTATTTTACTAGTCTTGTTAAGATCTTGCTTTCTTCCCATGCTTATTATTTTTCCTTCCTCCAGATTTTATATTTTGCTTTCCTACGTCTTTGTAAATCATCTCAAATTCATTTTGGAATATGGGATATAGTAATAAAAAGAAAAATAAGAGGAGAACTCTAACTGCTCAAAGCCAGAAAGTTCCAGATCTGTTTTCTCATATATAAATTAACCTCTTGCCACTCTGGCAGAGTAAACAATACTTTAAAAAAAAAAAATCAACAAATTAAGCCAAACAAATCATTTTCATAACATTCAAACACTGCATGGATTTTATTATGTAGGCAAAAACCTATATTGCCATGGATTAAACTGCTCTAATCCATTAAACTGCTAGGCCAAGGTAAGAAAAGAAATTCACAGTGTCAAGACATGAGGAGTCTGATTCTATCCCATTAACTTTTTTGTCTTCTAAGTTATATTTTATAGTTTCTATTTTCACAGGAGTGATAGGAGAAAATTTAAGAATGTCTTAATTCTTCCTATAATGGTCTTCTTGCCATCAGGGTCATTTTTTCCTTATGTTATAGGTGAAATTTAGAATTACCAGGCAGTTGAAATGTTTCTTGTTAATAATCAGATTAATCAGCAAGTATGTTAAAAAGTAATCTGCCTGAAATCATCTCTGTAGTTCAAGTGAATTCTCTTAGTTCAGGTTCCTAGTAGCAATATTTGGTAGTCTTTGAATGCTGTCAGCAGACTCTGTTCTTGGATCAGTCCTCGGGGAAGCACTACCGCCTCTGAGCTAGTTATTACATCTAGCCATGCTCATGGTCAAGGATAACTAGTATAATGTTTATGTAAGTGAAACATTTTATTCCTTTTTAATTAGTGACTATTTTCTAAAGTTAGGTTACTATATCACATCTTATATAGACTTTGTTTTTACATGATAAAACATACAAACATGATTTTTATTGCCTTAGTAAATATAAACTTTACTCCTTAGCCATAGTCCCCAAATTTAAAGTCTAATAATTGGAGCAAAAAATGTCTGTACATAGAAGCTCAAGACGATCAAATCTAGAATGTCTATTCATGTTACTCTATGATGTCATCTTTGTCTCTCAGGTCCTCAGTTACATGGATCTACAAAATCTCAAAACAGAAGTGGACCAACCTCTAGAACCAGGCAGGGACAATAGCACGAATGAGGAGAACTTGCTTCGGGCTGCAGGGAACACATGGGAAGATTTCACAAATCAATGTTCAGTCATCTCATGACGCAGACCTTGTATACAAGAGACAACCTGAAACCATCTTTGTGAATTATTTTGGTACAACAGACTGAAAACAGTATCAGCCAAAGATTACATGGGTACTGCTTCTATCTCCAGTTACTGTCTTCTGTTCAGCATAAGTTAATCATTTCACTGGACAGTAAAGTTTGTAGCCAAAGATGTAACAAATGAATAATTTCCTCCAAACCACTGCTCATGTTGTCTGTTAACAACGATCAGTTCAGTTACTACCGCATTCTATCAGACTGCTGCTGCTGTTGCTAAGTTGCTTCAGTCGTATCCGACTGTGCAACCCCAGAGATGGCAGCCCACCAGGCTCCGAAATCCCTGGGATGCTCCAGGCAAGAGTACTGGAGTGGGTTGCCATTTCCTTCTCCATTCTATCAGACTACATGTACACAAAACGTAGCAAATTGTTTGAAAACATTATTACTGGCTTTGGAATACTTCTGCTTGTGTTAATTTCTGGAGAGGTATACTCACTTTTAAGTCATTTTTAGGAGACAGTTCTATAAAGAAAATCACATCAAACAGATGTGATTACTAAAGTTTTCTCTTAGATGTCCAAATCCATAGGCAGATATATATGGCAGGGATGAATAATTAAAGACATAAATGTTGAGCACTGGTATAAAGTAATCCATGTAATAAATAATGGATTTCCCCCCTCCCCCAGGTAGGACAATTAAGCCTTACAACAGCTGCCTGACATCAGGTTATACTTGTTTTCTTCTCAAAGTACTTTAGTGGTCATTTACCCCCCCACACCCAAATATCACACCTGCCTTGCCAAATTTTCTCCTGCAGGTCTATTAGAAAAGCGATTTAAAAATTTATAGAATCTATTAGTGAGCCAGCAAGACACAACTTCTTAAAATTCCCGAAACCCTGCAGTTCTGTCTAGTATAATCATATGCTAAAAGCAAAGGAAGAGAACTTTGACATTCTTCTGATTTTCACATGGACCTTTCCCGAGTGCACTCATGAATGCATCAATGGTTTTAACTATGGCTTAAACTTATTTAACTTTCATTGAATTTTAATTCTGATGATCATACTGGTTTTAGATCTTCTATTAATCTTCAGAGTTGATAAATTTAAATGATCATAACTTGGGATTTATTATTTCAAAGTGTTCTAATACTATCATATGAAGACAGGTACAGCAAACAACCTACATTAAACTGTATTTTTAATACAATTAAAAGAGTATTTTTTAATCTATTTGTTATCCAAACTGAAAACGTGTCTTATGCTTACCTCAGATAAATTATGTACATGACTCTCAGTGACAGAAGGCTTGTTTTATGCATATGATATTGAATATATTAGCTTACAAATCAGAGATTTTAAGTTGAACAGTCTCTAAAAAATTTTCATATATTCTAATGAACTCATACCAATTCTACTAAATATAAATGAAAATCTCTGTACTGTTCTCACAAATCAATACCATTAGTACATGATAACAAACCACTGGATCAAGACAGCTTGCCTTTCAAGGTCAGAGTTAACAAGTCATTTAGCCTAGCTTCCTCACCCTTTTATAGATGAGGAAACAAGTTCTGACAAGCTCAGTAACCTGATTCTAAGGACATTCAGCAGTTACAGAGAGGATTACAGCATCTCTTTATGCAACTTAAACCAGGCTATCTGCTACAATACTGGCTAGAACTACTTTTCTTCTCTCTTTTTTTATCCTAAGCACCATTCATATATTTAATAAATCATCTTTTAAATGACCATATTGGGATCACTTAAAAAGTCCCGGGAACTTAACAGTCATCTTTCACTTGATTATTTAATCTTGTACAATTCTTACAAAAGTGCTTGAAGTAATCTGAACACCTGTTTCTCCTATATACCTCAAGCAAAGAGTGCCAAACTTAGTTGAGTAGGAAAAATAAAAAAGAGAGGGCCTATGCAAGAACATTAAGACTGAAAGCAAACTGGCAAGTATTTGGGAAATAGATGTCCAGCAAGTGTTGAAGGCTAGGTAGAGTACATGTCCTAAAAAACACACACCACTGAATACCCTGAAGCTCATTCCTATATGGCAAAATAACAATTGCTAAAAGTGGTAGGGACAGATCTGCATTCTAGATACAGTTCCTTATTCAGAAGACACACGGAAAAGTGCTCTCAAGGAAGCATTCACCCTCCCACTCCCTCAGTGATCACCACCAAACTCCATAGGAGGACCTCACAGGATGTCAGCGTATTTCTAGGATATGCTAAGACCAGGCTGAGAGAGTCTACTTGGTTTAGATAGTTGATCCAAATAATTTAGGCTTGAAAGACAACTTTTCTCAAGAGTTGAGTTCACTTTTGTCTTCAAATCTTGACTGTACCTTGCCTACAAAGGCATCAGGTAACACCTATGGACTTTTGAAGAGAATATTCCATTATTTCTTTTCTTTCTTGAGAGTCGTTTTTTTCCCTCCTCGTTTGGAAGGTTTGCAGTACTTTGCTTCCATCTGAGCCAGAAAATTGTCCATTTCCTTTTGCCGATCCTTTTGTCTGCTCTGTTTAAGAAGTTAAAACACAAGCTTTCAAAACTCAAGACTGTCCACAGAAATAAAGTATTTAGCAGTAGACAGGGGCTGGTGGAAAGGGAGAATGAGGAGTGACTGCTAGTGGATAAGGGGTTTGTGTTTAGAGTGATGCTGATCTGGAATTAGATAGTGCTGATGATTGTAAAACCTGATCAATATACTAAAAAACCACTGAATTGTACATTTTAAAAGGGTGACTGTATGGTACCTGAATGTCTTAAAAGATGAAAACAAAATGCCTATAATACTATATACACTCCAAAGAATATTAGCAGTAAGAAGCAGAACGTGAAAGAAATGGCAGTAAGCTTCACAGACAACCTGACAGTTTACCTGAATGGCTGCTTTCAAGTTATCCACTCCTTCGTCAAGCCCCAACTCCTTCCTGCTCATTTCTGCTTCTTTAGCCTCTTCCTCAGCCTAAAACAGAAACTCATGTGAGATACAATGCCAACCTAGCAAATACTAAAAATACAGCCTCTTTTCCAAAAGCAAATCTGTTAAGACCATTTCAATTTGAGGATTATATAAATTAAAAGCATAAAATCAAGCAGTAGATCCTCTGATTCCAATAAGCATTTGAGAGTGTTCCCAATTTGTATGCTAGGGGTAAGCAGGTCATTTGGTTCCATAAACCATAGGGGGACAGAAAGGAAAACAAAATGCTAGAAGAGCTAAGAAAGGTCACTTAACCAAGGATACCCTCAAAATGTTGCCAGGACACAGGCACCTCAGATTCCTCCTCTGGAAACCAAATTTACTACATGTGACTTGTGGTAGCCAAGAGCACAACCCTGGTTTAAAATTTCCCCTGAGTAGTTAGGATAAACTCTAACAAATTCCGTTTTAACGTTTCTTTACCAGATTTCAAAGCCACCTCCTCTTGCCAAATTTTACTAGGGCACTGATTCCAAACTACTACAAGAATACCTTGGGAAAGGTTAGTAAGTTCATTCTCCAGGGCGACAACTAAGACTATGAGAGGTCCCAATCCTCAGAGAATTTTCTAAATAGCAATGAATACTATTAATACTGAGAATGATGATATGTTAGGACCTTGTTACTCCAATAAAGTTTCCCCTGAAACAGTCCTTGAAATCAATTTATTTCTTTTAGTACTGTTTTTTCTCTAAGTTTGCAGAATTCTCTGTCAAAACTATTCCATTCCCCACTCCACCCCCCAAACTCCAGGAAAGTTTCTCAAGCTAATAGGCTATTACTGAACACAGCTGTGCTGTTTCACCTAAAAAAAGTTGCCAACTTAAACTGTCAGCTTGAAATCTAGACAGATGGAGCCTATAAGCCAAAGTGGTGATCTTGATACACATTCCACTTCTCTCAACACACGTGTCAGGTTTCTCCTGCATCTTTTTACATAAAAGCCACAGACCTAACTCCACCTCCAATTCAGCCATACAAAATAAAGTACCCGCCAAAGAGCTACAGTCTTCCCTAGAGTGCCCATTATGAAAGCCAGGTTGAGGCAAGAGTGACTTTAATACCAGTCCGGTCTTCCCCTAAAGACCAGAGGCACAGATATTTGTTACCTTGAATCTGCTCCCTCCTGAACCCCACATGTCCTTAAGCTCCTTTCCCTTGCCATCATCCTTACCCTCACCAACCCCACAGTTTAATATGGGTGAAAAGGACACAAACCACAATCCTTAATACTCTACAAAAGTGTACCTCAAAGGGTGCTTGGAAATACACAATTATCAAAATAAACTGGTTTTTAGTTGTTTTTTTTTTTCACTCCATCTCCCCATGTGTTTTTTTTTGTTTGTTTGTTTGTTTTTTTAATTATATTCTGGGTCCGACTCAAGAATCGAAGTAAGTGAAGTCATTCAGTCGTCTCCGACTCTTTGCGACCCCGTGGACTGTAGCCTACTAGGCTCCTCCATGGGATTTTCCAGGCAAGAGTACTGGAGTGGGTTGCCATCAAACTGGGCAAGAATACAGAAATTTAAATTAATAAGACATAGTCCTACAGTCTTTGTCACCTCCTCACCTCTTAACCAAGTGAGAATCACTATGGAGCCTAGGTATCCGGATTCTGTTACTTTATTGCCTTAGAATGCCTCAGCAAGGTTAAAAGAATTGGCCCATATGAAGAATATTTCAGTGCTACTTTCAAATGATACTGATTATCTAATCCATGCAGTAAAATCCTTTTGAGCACAACAGAGTAGGGGAAAAAAGTTTCTCTTAATGAGCTCATTATGCTCTTTTAGTTAGATGGCAACTAGAAAAGAAGTTAAGCCTTATCTTTATTTCAGCAGTCTTATATATATTTTCGGTGTTATAAATATCCTCAAATTCCTTTGGGAAGTAGTCAAGATATAAATAGTAAATGGCATTCAAAACCTTACCCTCCTTTTCCTTGCATTCATCTTCTGCTTGGATTCTTTGACAAAGGCATTATAGGACGGTACCTCTCCAGCATCAATGGCCTGTTGAATAATGTGCCTTATCCTGGGTTCCTCTGTGTACTGCACACACAGCACAGACTCCATGATCTGATCCATGTCACCCTTGAAGTCCAGATAGGCCTGTTTAATATCAGTCAGCTCTTCTTCAGAACCTTTGTATGTCTTCTCAAAAGCCTGAATGTCTTCCAGAGATATCTGAACAAATGAGAGAGAGACACATGCTGTAACTTTGAAAAGTTTATTTTAAATAGTAGGAATACAAGAAAAAAGTTAACTCAGGTGTCAAAATATTTCTCTCCAAATACAACAGCTGCTCGAGTTGAAAGTGTTGCAAGGAAGCAAATTTTCTATGCTAAAGATTTTCTAGCGTTCTCCCTAGTCCAATCTTTAGAACTGCTAAGCTACACACCAGGAAAATTTAAGTGAGTTTCCAAAGGTGGGAAGAGACCCAGAAAAATACTCAGGGCTTGCACCTGGCTTTGTAAAATAAAGCACATATAAAAAAATTTAATGTCCTCCTATCACTACACTCTACACCAACAGATAGTTAAAGGCCCATTTCATTAAGTGTTATCTATGTATGTACGTGCATGTGTTATAACACACATATACACACGGTTCAACAGAACGGTTAGATAAATTCGCCCTTCTTCAAAGAAGTGGGTCTCTCCTAAGGAATGTCTGTGCTGTGTGTGCGTTTATTAATATTTATAGAGACCAAATAAAGAATCCTCATTCTTAACAACACAAAACGCAAGGCCTTAGAGGCATTCAATAAAGGTTTGTTGAATGATTAAATGGGAACGGTCACAAGAAAATCTCCAGAGTTCTCTACCTTTTTAAAGAGTAATCTCCAATAGGCCTCCCAGTCCCGGTCTTGGCTGAGCACATCAGAATCTTCGTCCACTGTTCCCTGTTCATCGTATAATGCTCTCTGTTCTTTGTCACTCAGAACGGAGTAGACCTTCCCAAGGATCTGCGGGAAAGAGTACACTAAAATCACCCCTCCGCCTCTCACTGAAACCGCGCCGCGAGAAATAAAAGATTAGAAAACGCCAGGCCGGGTTCTGCTCACTCCACCCCGGGAGAGGCCGGGCGGTCATAAGACGGAGGGAAGCCGGGGGGCCGGTGGGTAGAGTCTAGAGAGCGCACCTGGAAGCGGCGAGTGGCGTCCTCCTTGTCGTCCTCGCCCACCCGATCCGGGTGCACCTGCAGGGACACCTTGTGATAGCCGCGTCGGACCTCGCTGTCTGAGGCCTCGCGCCGCACGCCCAATACTTGGTAAAGGTCGACGGTGCCGAATAGTTCTTCGCACAGTTCTAGAAGCCCCATGGCAGGCAGCGGTGCGAAGGGGACAGCGGCCTCAGCGAAAACACCTGACCCCAGCTACACTGAGTAGAGCTCAAGAGCGCCTACCTTTTCCCGCGCAAAAAGCCCGAGGCTCTAGCGTCACAAGAGGCGCCGGAAGAGGCGGGGCCACGACGCCACACTTTACGGCCGTTGAGAAATGGGGGCGTGGCCAAGCTGGGGACAGCCAGCATTGAGGCGGTGAGTGTCCTAGCACCGGAATCTCCTTCCACAAATTCTCTCAGCCCCGGCCCTCCTCCCCTTACTCTGAAAACCTCATTCCTACCTTTCCCTCAATGTCCCAGCTCAGTTTATGCAACAATGTAAACGTTCATATTAGGTTGAACCTAGCACTGCTTTCCTTTTGCCTTTTTTCCAGTAAAAAACAGCATAACATCAGTATTTGGCAATCTCATGTGGTTTAAATTTGGGGATCACAACAGATTGTGGAAAATTCTTAAGAGATGGGAACACCAGACCACCTTACCTGCCTCCTGAAAAACCTGTATGGGCTTCCCTGTAGCTCAGATGGTGAAGAATCCGCCTGCAATGCAGGAGACCTGGTATCAATCCCCCAGTGGGGAAGATCCACTGGAGACAGAAATGGCAACCCACTCTTGTATTCCTGCCTGGAGAATTCCATGGACTGAACAGATGAGCCTGGCAGACTACAGTCCATAGGGTGGCAGAGTGAGACACGACTGAGCGATTAACACTACACTACTACAAGAAGCAATAGTTAGAACCAGACGTGGAACAATGGACTGGTTCCAAATTGGGAAAGGAGTAAGTCAAGACTGTATATTGTCACCCTTCTTATTTAACTTATATGCAGAGTAAATCATGCGAAATGCTGGGCTGGATGTATCACAAGCTGGAATCAGGATTGCAGGGAGAAATACCAAAAACCTCAGATATGTAGATAACATCACCCTAATAGCAGAAAGTGAAGAACTAAAGAGTCTTCTGATGACGGTGAGAGTGAAAAAGCTGGTTTAAAACTCAACGTTCAAAAAACCAAGATATGACATCCAGTCCCATCACTTCATGGCAAATAGGTTAAAAATAGAAACAGTGACTGACTTTTTCTTTGGCTCCAAAATCACTGCAGATGTTGACTGTAGCCTATAATTAAAAGACACTTGCTCCTTGGAAGAAAAGCTATGACAAACCTAGACAGTATTAAAAAGCTAAGTGCTGAAGAACTGATACTTTCAAACTGTAGTGCTGGAAAAGACTCTTAGTCCCTTGGACAGCACGGTGATCAAACTAGTCAATCCTAAAGGAAATCAACCCTGAAAATTTATTGGAAGGATTGATGCTGAAGTGCCAATACTTTGACCACCTGATGTGAAGAGCTGACTAACTGGAAAAGACCCCAATGCTGAGAAAGACTGAGGGCATGAAGAGAAGGGGATGACAGAGGATGAAATGGTTGGATGGCATCATTGACTCAATAGTATGAGTTTGAGCAAACTCTGGGAGATAGTGAAGGACAGGCATGCTACAGTCCATGGGGTCGTGAAGAGTCAGACACGACTGAGTGACTGAACAACAAGTTGGAACTGCTAGGCAGGGACTTTCCCGTGAGCCCTGCAATTTAAAAAAAACCTACATTAAACAAAAAGCATAAAATACCAGTCTTCTAAAAATTCTCTTAATTGATAGAACTTCTAGATTTGACATTTAATACAGAATCATTTCCATTCACTTTCCAGTTCCTGAATCGCCTTCCACGTTTGTGGAGATAACATAATCCAAACCCCCATCTTGATAAAAATATAAGCTTTAGAAACAAAGACTTTCTAAAGTGCAGACCTGGGTTTGAGCATGTTGGATTTGATATGGTAGCAAGACAGGCAGATGCAATCATACAGGAATTGGTGAAAAATCTGGGTCTGAAAAATGGGCCAAAGATCTAAACAGACATTTCTCCAAAGAAGACATACAGATGGCTAACAAACACATGAGAAGATGCTCAACATCACTCATTATCAGAGAAATGCAAATTAAAACCTCAATGAGGTACCATTCCACACCAGTCAGAATGGCTGCTATCCAAAAGTCTACAAGCAATAAATGCTGGAGAGGGTGTGGAGAAAAGGGAACCCTCTTACACTGTTGGTGGGAATGCAAATTAGTACAGCCACTATGGAAAACAGTGTGGAGATTTCTTAAAAAGCTGGAAATAGAACTGCCATATGACCCAGCAATCCCACTTCTGGGCATACACACCGAGGAAACCAGATCTGAAAGAGACACGTGCACCCCAATGTTCATCGCAGCACTGTTTATAATAGCCAGGACATGGAAGCAACCTAGATGCCCATCAGCAGACGAATGGATGAGGAAGCTGTGGTACATATACACCATGGAATATTACTCAGCCATTAAAAAGAATTCATTTGAATCAGTTCTAATGAGATGGATGAAACTGGAGCCCATTATACAGAGTGAAGTAAGCCAGAAAGATAAAGACCATTACAGTATACTAACACATATATATGGAATTTAGAAAGATGGTAATGATAACCCTATATGCAAAACAGAAAAAGAGACACAGATGTACAGAACAGACTTTTGGACTCTGTGGGAGAAGGCGAGGGTGGGATGTTCTGAGAGAACAGCATTGAAACAAGTATACTATCAAGGGTGAAACAGATCACCAGCCCAGGTTGGATGCATGAGACAAGTGCTCAGGGCTGGTGCACTGGGAAGACCCAGAGGGATGGGATGGAGAGGGAGGCAGGAGGGGGGATCAGGATGGGGAACACATGTAAATCCATGGCTGATTCATGTCAATGTATGGCAAAAACCACTACAATATTGTAAAGTAATTAGCCAACTAATAAAAATAATTGGGAAAAATAAAAATAAAAAATAAAATAATTTTGAGAAACTTTAAAAAAAAAAGAAAAATCTGGGCCTGGAAATCCAAATCAAGAGTAGGACTAGAGGAAACTTTGGAAATCAGGGAGAGGATGAGCTTACACGGCAGTTTCCATATGTGTGTCTTAAATAAAAGACAGACCAAGGCACAAAGTGAATATGCGAATTGGCAGAAACTCAGCAGCTCAAAATAATACCTATTTCACATCAGTTCCCTTCATTGGTCAATACTTTCCAGAATTACATTCTCCTCTACTCTACCAGTTAAGGTTTCTCCAAAGACCTCAAACTTCCCAGGGTAGACTGTTCTTTAAACTTTGAAATGGTTTTCAAAACATTTCTTTTTCCTAGATTCAAGATCAAACTCCCATAAAGTCAGTTGCTCTCTGCCTGTCCTGCCTTTAAAGCCTCCCCAAAGCAAGTGGAGGCCAACCAGTGACAACTCAGAGAGCCTTGATGACCTGAGTTTGAGGTGGCTGGCAATTATTCTCAGAATATAAAACTGAGAATAGGCTGGTACAATGATAGGGCTTTAGACTCTCCTCTATAAATCTCCCATATTTTAGTTTTATACCAGATTATGAAATTTATATTATTCAGAGTGACTAAAGCCATCTAATGCTGCTACAGTGATGGTGGAACAGATAACAGGCTTTTGGGGGACACAACTAGTGATTTATATTAACAAACCATGATACCCAAACCTAATTTTGTCACTGACTTTTTAAATGGACTTTTGAAAAGCCCTTTGTCTTTACTCACTACCCCCACTACAAACATAACATGTTGGAAAGGGCTCTGCAGGTAGGAGCATCGGGGTCTGACTCTGTTCTGCCCAATACTAAAACTATGTGGCCTTGGCTGATTTTCTACTTCTGAACCTCAGCTTCCCCACTGATAAACTGGAGACAATCCTACCTAATTTCATGATGCCTTATAATTCTCACAAATAACCTTGCACGGAAGTTGTACATAGGTACTTTACTTTCTTCCAGTTATTCATTTTTTAAAAAGTAGATTATTAGAGCCTAAAAGCATGTAACAAACTACCTTTGTAAATTTGAGATTGTGTGTTGACTAGAAAATGTAAATCTGCAATTACGAAAACAGTAAGTAAAGTAATTGTATTCTTGAGTTGGTGGGATGACCATAAATGATTAAAGATAGAAATACTTGGAGAGGACACAGACATGCTGGTTGGGGACTCTGAAACAGGAAATCTTGGAAGGTGGTAGGCTATAAAGTTTCCCAAGGGACCCAGAGTCCAACCTACCCCACAGCCACTGTCTTTCCCCTGAAGAAGGCTGAAAGAATTAGTATCTATACCCAGCTTTATGTCAGTCAAGAGCAAACTTCTCCCTGGGCTCTCTTCAGATCAGGCCAGATGATCATGGATGACTTAAAAAATGCCATTTATTGACCTCCAAATATAATAAAACTAAGAATTCTGCACAAATATTTTAAGAGGACTTCAAGTTTGTTCCCACTGCTATGTTCACTGAAGTCAGCTCTCTTTTGTCTCTGTAGCCTCTGTATCTGGTTTCTGAGCCGCTAAGAGGACTTCTCGTGCCCGTTTCCGTCGCAGCCTCTCAGCATTTGTGATCACCATCGGGTGCAGAGGGAAAAAGCCAGAAAGACCTAAAAGTAACAGGATTTTCATTCATTATAACATCACAAACTAATGTTTACCTGGGAACTCAGTCTCACTGAACTGAAGTCTAACAGAGATTTGATCCAAGACAAAGATTCAAAACAGATTCCTCACTTGCCAAAATGCTTTTACCTCTTCCCCCAGCTCCCTCTCTTCCATTTACTGCAAGGTCACAATGGATGTTGTCTACTTCTTAACACTATTTTCCTTACTTGAAAAAATGATCAACTGACAGTCATGCAAGACACACCATTCCCATTTTTTTTTTAGCATAAAATCTCAGTCATCCAAAAAGTCTCATGAAGTCTCTACAAAAGGAATCTCCAGATTTCAACTGGCATCTAGATCTGAAATTTCAATTCTCCCTGTAGTCCTGATTAGCCTGGAGATAGTGCAAATCATTCTTAATTTTCATCATCCTGGAAATGACTTCAATTGAAAATCCCCTCAGAGACGTAAGGCTTAGCTGAGTTACCCAGAAGCTTTTCCACAGGCTTTGAAAGGTGGGCTCCACAGCCAATCCAATGCCGGATCCGGTCCAGGTTGAGAGCAACGAGTTTCTCTCCATGACTGTTGGGCATTGGATCATAGGAGCCCAGCTGCTCTACGAAACGGCCATCCCTGGGACACTTGTTGTGAGCAGCCACGATGCGGTAGAAAGGTCTGTTGGTACAGCCACCGAGCGCAAGGCGGATGATTAAGTGGCCTCCACGGTAGGCCTTGCAAAGGACAGTAGCTGTAGACAAATAAGTGGTTAAGACACAAGAATCGAGAGCACAAAATGGACAAAATGAAATGTGACAACCCCTTTCCTCCACTGAAATGCTGCTGCTGCTGCTTAGTCGCTTTAGTCGTGTCCAACTCTGTACGACCCTATGGACTGTCGCCAGCCAGGCTCCTCTGGCCATGAGATTCTCTAGGAAGACTATTGAAGTGGGTTGCCCGTATCTTCCTCCAGGGGATCTTCCCGATCCAGGGATCGAACCGCGGTCTCCTGCACTGCAGGCAGATTCTTTACCTCTGAGCCACCAGGGAAGCCTAAAATGTCCTTCCTTTCAACCAATTCTTTTCAGTCTGACTCAGAAACCCTTTTTTTGTGAAACTCCTCTTAAACACTCCAGCTACACCCAACGCACTCAACACAGACCTGCTATTTACTGTCTCTGGAACAAGCTGAAGCCCAGCTGCCTCACCTATAAAATGAACGCCATTTATCTCGTAGGAGTTCAGCGAAAACTTTAAAAGCGAACAAGAAAACCACTGAGGGCAGGATCAAACGTGTGCAGTTTCAGGTACGGGCTGTCTCTAGCTTGTCTAGGAGAGCGCAGCTCCAGTCGGCCCGCACTCCCTCTTATCCCCACGACCGCCCGGAAAGTCTCCCGGGGCCCCCATTACTCACTGAGCTGGACCATGGCGCAGCCGGCGGGCCCCGAGGCCTGTGCGCCAGTTGCGACGCCTCGGAGCTTCCCGGAGCCGGAGCGAATCCGCTCTACGGCCTCCGGCTGCGCAGACAACCCACCAGAAAGTTCAACGCCTAAGAACCGCGGACTTCAATCCTCCTCCACCCCAGCCCAGGCACCTTGGTACCGGAAGCGAGTAGTCCAGTCGCCCCGCCTCTTCCGGCCCCTTCCCTGCACTTCCGTAACACGACACAGAGATCCCTGAGGTATCTTAACTACCATGAAGGCGGAACGTTACACCTTGGGGATTCCCGGCGAGCCGAGCCGGGTGGGATCTCCGGCCCTCATGCCCTGTGGGTCACTGCCTGAGGGAGGAATACTGGGAGAATCCCGGGAAGGGGTGAAGTGAAAGTGTTGGTCACTCAGCCGTGTCCGACTCTTTGCGACCCTGTGGATCGTAGCCCGCCAGTCTCCTGGGTCCGTGAGATTACTCAGGCAAGAATACTGGAGTGGGTTGCCATTCCTTCTTCAAGGGGATCCTCCTGACCCAGGGATCAAACCCGGGTCTTAGGTTTTGCGGCAGATTCTTTACCGCTTTGAGACCAGCAGAGAAGGCCACCATCCATCCTTCCAGCAAATGTTTTCCGAGCACCAGTTAGGGCCTAGGCGCGGTGCCAGAGAACGCAAAGAGGAAAGAGGGCTGTCCCTGCCCCTAGGCAGCTGACAGTCGTGGCGGGGAGGGGAGGGAGGGGGCCGGCGGGGAGAGACGGTGAGGTTACATCTGAGTAACTAGGGGTAGTCAGTACACAGTCCTGGGGTGAGCAGAAGAGAAGGTGAACCTGGTAATTCCTCAGGAAGACTTCATAAAGGAAGTAGCATTAGGGCTGAGACTAGAGAAGAACTATAAATGTGTATAGAGTTGATTTTATCCTATGTTTACCGATGTGCCTCTCACTTTCCCTCCTGTTTTTCCATGTCCCTCCTATTCTCTGTGTCCTCCTTTAAAAAATAAAGACAGGAAGCCTTTACTTTTGGTTTTGCTGTGCACTGATCCAAGAGGACGAGGGTGAGGTATGGTTCCTTTGTCATTTCTAGCCCTAGAATAACGGCCTCAGTTGTGAGGAGTTTTACATCTTTTATAGAGTAATGGATTCTTCATGGAGCCCTTGTGATTTACATCCATGAAGATACATACTGTCAGCAAAGACCACTCGATTCAGCTTTCTGTTCACTGTTAGATCTGGGCACAACTCATGTGCTCTTTGCCCTAATGCAGTGACCCGGCACAGCATTCTTCCTTTCCACCCACCTTAGAAAATGATGCCTTAATTCCTAAGTTCCAGTAAATGAACCTGGTCATAGAACTTAGCAGTTGACTTCCTGCAGGAGTAATCCTGATAAACTTTCACCTGAAACGAATAATGAACATACTATACCTTACTTACACACACACACACAAATAGTTATATTCTTATGTATATCTCAGCATACCATAATTGATGAATTCTGAGTTTTTTATTTAATTTTTTAATTGCCATCCAGTTAACTGTCAAACAGTAAAACATCCAGTAACAATAGCCATTCAGTAAGACAATGGAAATAAATGAATGGGTTTCAGTTATATTGATGATCCTTTCTATCTTTATCCCCAGTCTTCATTCTGGTGAAACATCCAGGGTTTAATTTCTCTCTGAAAGAAAGGGGTCAGCATCCCATACAGAAAATTCTTCAGGTGGAAGGATGTCAGAAAGATGGATTTCCAAAGCCAACCGTCTCCTGAACCATATGGAGCTCTGCAAGCAGATTCTCATCTTTCAATTTTAACTGCATAAGAGGTAGAAGGGAAGAACACATACGTCACCCCTGACATAGCTATGTGGAGACTCCTTATCTGTGGGGCCACAGCTAAAGAACATAGTTCCTCAGGTTGGAATTGACTTCCTTTATTCTCTGTTTCATGATAACTCCATTAAAAAGTCCTCAGAACACTGTGCTGCTTACATGCAAGTGTTCACTTTACAAAAACTTATGTGGTATGAATGCTCACAATTTGTGCATTTTTTGTGTAAAAAATAAAAGTTTATTTTTAAAAATTTACCCTAATACCCAAATATATTCTTAACTAATGTATAATACTGTTCGGCAGGTGAGAGACAGGAATAAAATACACAGGAATCAAAACCATTAGATTTGAATTTAATTTTAAAATCTCAATGTGTAATGGATACATCTAGTTGCCTACAAATCCACTCTCTTCTTTTACTAACAAAATCTTCATTTCTTTTCAGGGCAGCAATGTAGGCAACTAGAAAGCAACAGAGTTTCCCTTGCAGCTAGCAGTAATTTCAATTGTGATGAATGAAATATAAGCTAAAGTCACATCTCTTTTTAAAGGGAAGTGAAATAGCTAGTGTGGCCCTTTTGTCATTTGCCTGCTTTGTTCTTTACTATACTTGAAATATGCATGTGATAGCTTGAGGTACAATGGCTGTCTTGCAACTACGAGGGCTGGAAACTTAATGTTATGACTGGTGAAGCAGAGAGAAAGAGGTTGGGTTTCTGTTAACACTGTGGTACCAGTATGTTCTGGACTTTTCATTAGATGATAAAAAATAAAACTCCTAATTTGTTTAAGCCACTGGCTTCCAATTCACATTATTTGCAGTCATAACTGACAGACTAGACCAGGGATTCACAAGCAATAGCTCATGAGCCAAATCCAGCCTGCTGCCTGTTTTCGTAAGTAAAGTTTTATTTGAAATACAGCTGTGCTCATTTGTTTGCATATTGTTTGTAGCTGCTTTTGCACTACAAGGGCACAGAGTAGTAGCTACAAGAGAGACCACATGGCCCACAAATCCTATTTTGCCCTTCACAGAAAAATTTGCTGACTGCTGGACTATAACAACACCTTCATTTTGTATGTGAGGATAATGAGGCCCATGGAGGGTAAAAAAAAAGATCTCCCATGGTAATATGTGGGTTATGGCAAACATGGTAAGAAAGTCCTCTAGAAAAATCTTCACATCATGAAATGCTGTGAAGTCAAGTCCTGAATTAAGCCAGCACCTTCCTCCTAGCATTCCCAACTTCAGTATACTACAAATAGCAAAGGTATCTGCATCATACCTTCATCGTGTACTTGTAGGCCTGCTCAGCTTCCAGTTGCCGTCCAGCCTGAAAAAACAGCACAATTTAGTAATGATGACATACCATAATCATTAAAAGGAGAAGGTACACTGCCGCCATTGCTACCTAAAGCAGAAGATTCCACATCTTGGTTAAAAACCTCTGAATGAAAAGCAGAAGCAGGAAAATGAAAGGTGGTGGGAAAACCAGATATTAAATATAATATATACTTATAAATATATATATATATATATATATTTATTTATATATATACCTCCTCCATTTCAAATAGCTTAAAGACAACTTGGCCTTTTTTTTTTTTCCTGAAAGCACCATAAGTCATTTGTTCCTCTCAGTATTGAAGCTATTCTGTTAATATTAGCTAACACACATAGCATTTGCTTTGTAGTTTACATTGTTTTAATCACTTACACTTTTAAAGTGCTTTACTTTCATATATACCACTATTATTTACATTTACATTGTATATTATTTACATGCCACTATTATTTATAATTCCCAGTTTACAAATAAAGAAGTCTGGGCACAGAGAAGGTAAATAACTTGCCAGGGTTATGAAGCTAGTAAGTGGAAGAGCCAGGTTTTAAAACAATACAGCCTGGCTCCAGAGTCCAAGTTTTTAATTGCTAAAATTTATCCCATCTCTATGAACTAGAAGAAGCAGGTACTGGCATTACTTGCATGTAGATCTTGATATGAAGGGAGAACACTACTTCTCCTAGTTATTTCTTGTATGAAGTACTCATATAAGACTTAAATGAGAATAATGACTTCACTAATAGACTTCACTCAGCATCCGTTGGATCATCGAAAAAGCATGAGAGTTCCTGAAAAACATCTACTTCAGTTTTACTGACAACGCCAAAGCCTTTGACTGTGTGGATCACAACAAACTATGGAAAATTCTTAAAGAGATGGGAGTACCAGACCACCTGACCTGCCTCCTGAGAAATCTTATGCAGGTCAAGAAGCAACAGTTAGAACTAGACATGGAACAAGAGACTGGTTCCAAATTGGGAAAGGAGTATGTCAAGGCTGTATATTGTCAGTTCAGTTCAGTTCAGTCTCTCAGTTGTGTCTGACTCTGCGACCCCATGAACCACAGCATGCCCGGTCTCTCTGTCCAACACCAACCCCCGGAGCCTACCCAAACTCATGTCCATTGAGTCAGTGATGCCATCCAACCATCTCATCCTCTGTTGTCCCCTTCTCCTCCTGCCTCAATCTTTCCCAGCATCAGGGTCTTTTCCAATGAGTCAGCTCTTGGAGGGCTATTTAATCTTTTAAAAATAGATCTATTGAGGTGTAATTTACATACCATAAAATTCACTAATTTTAAAGTTCGACTATGCAACAATTACTACAACCCAGTTTTAGAAGGTTTCTATTACCCCAAAAAAGTTTCTTTGTGCCAGCTTACAGTCAATCTCCATTCCTCCCCATGGCCCTAGAATCACTAATCTATTTTCATCTCTATAGTTTTCCTAATTATGGTGTCATATAATATATAGTCTTTTGTGCCCTGCTTCCCTTAATTTGTGTAATATTTCTGAGGTTCATTCATATTGTTGTGTGAATTGGAATTTCATTTTTATTGCTGAGTAGTATTCCATTGTATAAACATACCACATTTTATTTATCCATTCACTGATGGACACTGGGAATGTCTCCAGTCTTTAGCTATTATTAAATGTGGTAATAAAATATAGAAATCTTTGCGTGGACATATGTTTTTACTTTTCTTGACTAGATAGCAAGAAGTGAAATTGCTGGGATATACAGTAGGTACGTGTTTAACTTTTTAAGATTCTGTCAAACTGTTCTCCAAAGTGGTTGTACTAATTTGTAATCCCACTAGCAATGTATGAGGATTCCAATTTCTCCACATCCCTGTCAACAGTTGGTATTGTCAGACTTTTTGATTTAAGCCATTCTTTTTTCTTTTTTCTTTTTTTAAGCCACACTGTGTGGCATGTGGGCTCTTAGTTCCCTGACCGGGATGGAACCTGTGCCCTCGCCACTGGAAACAGGGAGTCTTAACCACTGGACCACCAAGGAAGTCCCTTGACTTAAGTCACTCTGATGATGTGTAGTGTATTATTGAGTTGAGTTGTCTTAATGAATTATCTTTAAAAATTCTGACATAATTTCAGATTAAAATTATAAGACTGAAAAAATTATAAGAATATCTCTCTTCTCTGTATATATGCACACACATGCACATACATATACACATGATATGAAAGTATATATTTAAACTTTTCTTCAACCATTTGAGAATAAATTGCAGGCATGATGCAGTTTTAGACTTCAGTATGTGTTTCCTAAAATTAAGGACATTCTCTTACATAAGCACAATACAATTATCAAAATCATAAGATTAGTATCAAATACTATTACCTAATTTGTAGACCTCATTCGGATGTTTCCAAATGCCCTAATAATGTCTTTCACAGCAAAAGAAAATCCAGGATCATGCCTTGTATTCAATATTCATGTCTTCAGTTTCTTCTAATTGGGAATAGTTCTTGATTCTTCGTATTTCATGATACTGGAATTTCTCAGCAATACAAGGCAGTTATTTTGTAAAATATTCCTCAATTTTTGTCTGATGTTTCATAATGATTATATCAGGTTATGAATTTTTGGCAGGAATACCATAAAAACAATGTTATGTTCTCCTAAGTGTGTTTAATTAGGAGGCACATGCTGTTTATCCCAATAATGGTAACTTTGATCCTTTGTTTAGATTCTTATCTGCCAGGTTTTTCTACTATAACACTACTGCAAATAAAAAAAAAATTACTGCATTTCCCCCTTGTAATTAATAAATATCTTGTTGGGAAATATTTGGAGATTATGTAAATATCTTCTTCCTCCTTAAACGTTCAGCTGTAGTTTTACCATACGTGTTATCATATGATCCAGCAATCTCACTTCTGGGCATTTATCTGGAGAAAACTCTTAACTCAAAAAGATACATGCACCCCAACTGCAGTACTATTTACAACAGCCACAACATGGAAGTGATCTAAATGTCCATCAACAGATAAATGGATAATCCAAGAAGATTTGCTATATATATCTACAATGTAATACTACTCAGCCATAAAAAAGGAATGAAATAATGTCATCTGTGGCAACATGGAAGAACCTAGAGATTATCATACTAAGTGAAGTAAATCAGACAAATTACATATGATATCACTTATATGTGGAATCTAAAAAATTATAAAAATGAACTTATTTACAGAGCAGAAACAGACTCAGAGACACAGAGAACAACCTTATGGTTACCAAAGGGCAAAGTGTGGGTGAGAGATTAGCAAATACAAGCTGCTATATATATATATAGAATAGATAAACAACAAGGTCCTTCTGTATAACACAGGGAAATATATTCAATATCTTATAATAAACAACAGTGGGAGATAATATAAAAAAAAAGAATCACTTGGCTGTATACAAGAAACTAACATATCAAGTCAGTTCAGTTCAGCCACTTGGTCATGTCCAACTCTGCGATCCCATGGACTGCAACACACCAGGCTTCCCCATCCATCACCAACTCTGGAGCTTGTTCAAAC